CGGAAACAAAAAATTATATAATTGTAACGGCCTTTGCACAAAACGGTGACTTACATAATTATATTTCAAAAAATTTTATTACTACACCTTGGAAACAAAAACTTTTAATGCTACAAGATATAGCATATGGACTCCGGAACATTCATGATAAACAATTTATTCATCGAGATCTTCATAGTGGTAATATACTTGTTATTAGTCAAAATAATGTAAAGATAGGAGATTTTGGAATAAGCAAACCAGCAAATTCGACAACAGATACGAAAGAGATATATGGAGTGATTCCATATATTGCACCGGAGATTTTTAATGGAGAAAAATATACGACTGCATCAGATATTTACAGTTTTGGAATGATTATGTGGGAAATGACAATTGGCCAAAAGCCTTTTTCTGATCGCAATCATGATGAATATCTTATTCTTGATATTCTTAATGGTCTTCGTCCTGAATTAATTAACGATTTACCACAGTCTTATATTGATTTAATAAAACAATGTTGGGACGCAAATCCATTAAACAGGCCAAGTGCTAATGATATTGTGGATTCTATTCGTACTATGAAAGAGAAATTAAATAATAAAGAAATAAATTTTCCAGAAAATATAATACACGTGCCTATCAAAAAAATAAACGCAAAGGCAATATATACCAGTAGACCATTAAGTTCTTTAATTAACACAGCATTACGGATGAAATCAAAATGTAATAGCCTTACAAGTATGTTTTCTAAAATAACTACATCTTTATTTTTTTCTTTAATATACTCGAAATAACTTATTTATAAACAAACAGATTATTCTATTTTATCAAACATCTATTCAATAAACAACTCAAGAAATGGTAACTGTTTTACGATTTTACAATATTAATACCGTAATATACTATAATATGAGATGTAGGATTTTCGATAAAAAAATTGATTACTTGTTTTTTTCAAGTTTTATCTAATTTTATAGATAAAAAAGGGTAAGAAAGTTAACGCTAAATGTATTTTTATAATTTAATACGGATTACACATGTTTGGGGTTTTCAGAATTAATGATTTGATAAAATAAATGACGTACATATTTACGTCAAAATATATGATTCATAAATCCTATTTTTCTTAACGTATAAACTCATTTACATAATCGTATCAAAAACAATTCTATTACATTTAATTCTCTGAGTTGGAATTTTAAAATAGAAGTAGGATCTTTAAACTCTACTTATTTGCTAAATAAGTTAATTCTGAAAACCCCCATTTATATAATTAATAATAGTATTCTAAATAACAAACTCTAAAACTTTTATTCAAAATAGACAACTTTCAAAAATGGATTTACATTTTTTATGCAACAGACAAACTTCGGATTACTATCAATCTATCAACTTAAATTATAAAAGTTTAGAGTATAATCAAAGCCTAATGATTGGCAATGTATCAAATCAATTAGAAAAGCCTAAGTTTTATAACGATTCAACTGACGATGGTACGTATGTAAAATAAAGTTGTGGATAAATAAATTTATAATAATGATACTAACGTGAAATTTTATGAGTGAAATAGTGATGGCGCAAAATTTTGGCGGTACCATGGTCTTCGAATCGCAAGTGTCCAAAAAATAATATCTAAACTATTAAGATTCGAATTATTGAAACTAAAACCGCAAAATTATCAAAAACTTATGCCACCGTGATTAGTTAAAGTTTATAGAACCCCTTGGCTCAATTCGGAGCATCAATTAGCTCGGAGGTCATGGTATCGCCAAATTTTTGCGACATTATTTCACTCAATTTCACTCAAACTTTATAGTAGATTCCTATAATAAAAATAAAAAACTTAAATATGGTGATCATACTTACAATCAAGGTATAGTTCCTCTGTTTTTAATTCTGTTATGTAGGAACACCATGTTAAGGTATAATTCGATATAATAACTAATACTGTATAAGTTTTATTAATAATTAATTTATAAATTGTTAAATTTTTAGATAATTATAAATCACTGGAATTTAAGTTTGATATTAATTTATAAATTTAATTTATAAATTGAATATTAATATTTTAAATTTGTATTAGTTGTTAATTTTTTGTTTGTCAATTAGATTTATTATAAATCGTATTCATGGTGGTAAATTTTTATTATATTTCTTGGGGGTTTCTAAATTTTATTAGTTTTGTATTTAAAAAATTTTTAATACAAAATTTTCATATTAGATTTAGTATTTAGAGTTAGAAATAGGGTTTTGGGAAGGGCGTAGAACATTTTGCACCGATTAATTAGCTAGTTTTTGTTCATAGGTGCAAAATACCATAGATGTGTTTTAGCAAAAATTGACTACTAAATTTTTTCTTATTAAATTATTTATTATTGTTAAATATTTAATAAAAAATATTATATAGTATTTTATTTTTTAGTTATAAACCAAGTCTACACATTTAGCTTATATAATTATATATTACCGGTATAAACTTAAATCCAACTGTTAACTATATATTCACTAAATAAATATTGATATTTTTGTTATATTATTTTATAGAAATTTAATTTTTAGATAAAAATTCACTTTATTACAGTTTACACCAAAGGTTTTAAGTATTTATACGGTATTAATTTGTTTATACCTAAAAATAAAATACTTAATTTTGGTATAAGTTTGAATAATAACAATATTATAGATAAATTAAAAAATGTCTACATTTAGCTTCAAATAAAAAACCAATAAAATATAATTAAATATAAATTTTTTAGTAATAAACTTTATAGGTTATTTATTTCAATCCAAATAGTGTTAGAAAACCTATATTGCTCATTGCTATATTGAATAATAATGCTAAATTAGTATAATATCCAGCTTATAAATTAATAAAGATATGTTAACTATCTAACATATCTGTTAACTATTAAAATTAAAGCCTTGATTTAATTTCCAAATTCTTAGTATATAATTGATCAAACACTTTTTTGTATTGTTGTGCTATTACTTTTCTTTTAGCTTTGTATCTACGTATTATTGAAATAGAATATTAGTCTTGACATTAATATTAAGTTAAATATTAAGCTAATTCAAAAATAACTTACGTTGAAGTTAAGAGTCCATTTTCAATAGAAAACGGCTCAGTATCCAAATATATCGCTTTAACTTGTTCAAACCTAAATAAATATAAATGTTCAATAATTAGTATATTTAACATGCATGCTGTAGTAGAATAAAATAAAGCCAACCCTTTGAGCCCATTATTTTTTCCATGTTCATACAAATGTTTTAACAATTCATTAATAATAACTTTATTCTTTGCTAATGTTTCATAATCCAGATCTCCAACAATTTTATTTGCCCATGGAATAAAATGGTTCTTATTTGGAATAATAATTGCAACTAAAAAGGATTGAAACCCATCACCATAAATAAATATTTGGAATATTAAAGAGTTTTTAAGATATATATTTTCAATCTTATTAAAAAGAAATTTATAATTAGTAATGTTAAAAAATCTAATTAAGATTATATAATTCTATGACAAAAGGTGATAACAAACTATATAATTTTTAGCAAAGTTACTGATTGCTGCATTATAGCATTTTAGTTGGTGTATTTTATTTGAAACTTACGTAGCATTTGCAGATTAAAGCATCATGGAATGATTTTATTATCAAAAACTATAATGTATAATCCCATTATCACCTTTTGCTATTGTAAAAAATAAATAAATAAATTAACTTACTTTTTCAGGTGCAATATATTCGCCTTGAGCTAGTTTAAATATATTTTTAAGTCTATCAATAATTTTTAAACAACCGCGGTCATCAAACTCTCCGATATCTCCTGTATGTAACCATCCCTCCTAAGATATTCAAAATTAAATTTAAATCTATAATTATAAAGCATGTTTGTATAAGAACAAACCTCATCAATAGTTTCCTTTGTTCTTCTTTCATCTTTGAAATACCCTTTCATAATTGCTGCACCTCTAAGACAAATTTCACCTCTTGGATTTGGTTTATCAGTACTGTAATAATCTAAGGATGGAACATCTACAAGTTTGATTTCAAGACTTTTTGCAAAAAAAAAGATCTTATTTATTTAGCTTAAAAAGACTTATTAATTGTAATAATTAAAAATACATTTCATTACCATGGTGCTGGTGTTCCTACATGAGATGTAGAGAGATCACCAACTAAGACTCTTGCCCCTGATCCTGTAGATTCTGTTTGCCCGTATCCTTTAGGTATGTAGAAACCATTAAGAATTATTCATAAATACAACGTGTATATATGTGATATTATATACCTCTATCAAAAATAACACCAAGAGCTATTCTTAAAAACTCCACAACATCATCACTTAATGGTGCAGCAGCGCTAAACAAACGCCTTATATTTGGACCAAAGATCTTGCCAATCTTTTTTTCTGCAAATTTGTCCCATTCTTCGTATTTCAAATCTCCAGTTTTATTAAAATGCTCCAACTTTTTTTGATACAAACGTCTTGCTATTTCTCCCTCTTCACCAGCCGCATCAATTGTAACGTCTCTTAAATTTTTATATAATTTGTTAAATATTTTAGGTACACTCGGTAATAATATAGGTTGCAAAACTCGAATATCCTCAAATAATCGATTTTGATCTCCACTAAAATAACCAATCGAGATGCCACGCATTATTGCAGAGAATTCTGATTTGAGACCATATGAATGAGCCAAAGGCAGATGAGAAATTAATCGAGATCCTGGAGGCTCTTCAGGATAGTCAAAAGGCAAACACATTGTTGCTACGAAATTACTATGACTTATCATTACACCTTTAGGTACATCAGTCGTCCCTGAAGTGTACATGATTACAAATAAATCATCGGGTTGAGGTAGAACATGCTTCCTAAAATGTTGCTGACCAAACTTCTCAATTTGTGTAAATTCATACAGGTGAATATTTTTTTGAAATGCTTCAAGATATAGAGATTTACCAACTGGATCTTCAAGAGAATCAATTGATATTATAGCTTTTAAGAATGGAAGCTTTTCGGAGAGATTTAACAAGTTTTTGATGTGTGATTTAGAGACGATTACTATTGAAGTTTCGGTATGTGTCAGGCAATATTCCAAAACATTGGGTCCTTCAAATTAAATAGATTCACGAATTAATTATTAAATAGATTCACAAATTAATATCGTAAAAGAAAAAATTCATAAAATATAATCATGTTCGCATACTTTACCTAGAGTTTCGTATAGTGGACAAACAATTAAACCGTATACTGATGCACTTTGGTAAACTATATGATACTTTTAAATAAATTTTTTGTAATAAATAAATTGTACATTCTCAATATTAATTCCAAATTGGCAAAATTAGTTTGGGACTTTGCCGTAATTAAGTTATAGTTTTGGAACATGCCATAATTCAAATTGGCAAAACTAGTTTGGGACTTTGTCATAACAAAGTCCCAAATTACAGTATATATTATGCTTCTGTACTTCAATAATAAGTTCTTGGATTCGATAAATTTTGTTGATTTAAAATATAGATAAATAATTTTTAATCCCACGGATTGAATTAATAAATAAATTAGCAAAAGTTATTATAATATATAAAATGAGAATGTAATTGCTAATTTAAACGTTTATACTTACATTGCAATATATTAGTGTGCAAAAAGTTCTAAGTCAGAATATATTCGTTTGGGATTTTGGCAAATGTTCTAATCCCAGTCCCAAATTACCGTAATGCCATTATTTGCTGTAAATAGGTTGGGTCCCATCACTAATTAATATACTGTATAGTCAAACTTCAGTTATATTTCCTTAGATTATACCTATAAATTTCCCGATTTTATTAAATTGTAATAACTTTTTTTAAATAAAAATTCCCCTTCAATTTTATGAATTTTTAAAACTTTTAATTTTAAAAAAAGTTATAACAATTTGAAACATAAGACTTTTATATACTGTATTTGGATTGTATATCCAAAAACTTTTTGGACAAAAGGTGATATAACTGAGTTTTGACATTATAAATTTTTTACACCAACCTCGGGACAGTTAATAGAACAAATTCCAATAATAAATTTTTCAGCTTGATCACTCTTTATTATATTTATTTGAAGATGAAAAAGCCCATTTCCAAAATTTATAATTCGTTCATTAACTTGTTCAAATGTTTGCCACACATAATTCCCATAACTTCCTGTTTTTTCATCAAATTGGCGGATCCCCAAGCACTCTCTATTTTTAAACTTTTTCAATGCTTTTTATTAAAATAATAATAATAATAATAATAATAAAGTGGTAGAATGTAAGTGTATAATTAATCAATTTCAAAAATAACTAAAAATATTATTAAGTTACTTACATCTTCTCCAAATATCGCCTACTGTTGCGATACCGGGCTCAGGAGATGTTTTAAGTTGACCTCCAGGATTTAATGAATTTCTATAATGGCCTTTATTATTATTATTATTATTATTATTATTATTATTATTGCTCGTTCTTTATAAACATATCGATGCAAAAAATCAATTCACCTGTCTGTCCACTCCGTTCTGTTCCAGGAACTATAAAAGATTGTTTATTATAATTAATCCCAGGATTAATGATACTCATTTTGGTTTATCAATTTTCCGGAAAAACACGTCTTATTCTAAGATATGCTGTAAAAAAATCTAAAAACCACAATTTCTCTTATAAAGTATAAACAAATGACGTCTTGAAATCAAATAAATCTTTATTGAAGTCAAGAATTTAATATATATATATATAGTATGTAATATACGTATTTGATTTCCATGTGCTACATGATTGTTGTTACGTAACAAACTCTAATGACAATTAAACTTTCGCGTTAAAAATTACCTTAATGATTTTTGTTTGCTTATCTGAGTCTAATAGAAAACCTATACAGTATAAAGGGTTATGATCGATAATAAAGGCAGAATTCTTTTTGTCAGCAATAAAGATCTCTTTTTAGCATTGGGTCGTAACGATATAATTATTTTCTTTCGTTTTTTACATTCTTTACTCGCACTTGTAATAAAACCCTACAACAATCCATTCGATAATATATAGTATAACTAACGATCGCCATAACCTAAAATTAATGTACACGGTCTAGCCAAATTGTTTGCTTTCCCAAAAGGTCATGACATTGTACACTGGATAGAAATTTAAGAATCATAATGTAATGTATAATCAAGTAGCACAATATTTAGGGCTTATTGGTTTTATGAAAAGTGTCGTCAGGGTATACCGAAAATACCAGGAATGTGCGCAAAATCTTGCACATTATTGGACAGCATGATTTGTACGTACATGAGTTCTTTAAATACCTAAATGCTTCTAAAAAAGTAATCTCTACCGGACACGGCTTTAGCCATCCCCCTAAATTTAGATGCATAAGTACGTATAAGCATTGTTTGTTCTATAAAACCGATCTAATATTACTGTAAACTGATTTTATTGGATAATAATATAGTTCGGTTTAACAGGGATGTTGGTCTAGTCTAAACTGATGTACAACAGTTAGTCTTAAACCCGGTATGAAACTGAAAAAAATGATCTACACTAACCAGTCTAAACCTATTAATTCTTAAGACTATGGGCTAAAGTGGCCAGGATTGTTAGACCAAAATAAACTGGGTTGGATCAGAGTTCAGACTACCCTGGTTTTTGGCGAGACCGTTGTATTAATGTTCTTGTTCTAATCTTGGTTCAGACTCAATTTCAAAATTTTTAACTATATACAGCCAACTCTCTAAACAAAACCTAGATAACCCGGACACTTGACAAACTCTGTAGGAACCGAACACAAACCTTAATAAAATTTTTAATAAATTCGGTTTATTGATATAGTAAACTTTTTAAACCGAGATTTTTAAAATTTTACGGAAGGTTCAGTATAGGCAGTTATATATTTAAAACTTTAATCATATTGTCTAGTTAAAACTTAAACCATATAACATCAGTACAGTAATTCAAATAAGCAATTATGTAACATAATTTATAAATATAATAGATTATTTTAACTAGAAAAACGGCGACGTTTTGTGGGCTGGAGCTCTAGTTATTAGGTCTTATACTTGGAACTAAATTTAAAATAGTACAGTATTTAAATTTTATAAATTGTTATATATTATTTATAAGATTACATCAATATTAAATTTATAAAAAAGCAAATTTGTTTTATTATTCTCGTTGTAAATGCATAGTTGCCATAATATTTGTAATCTTTAAAAGAACAAGAACCATTAAAAAGGACGTCAGCAAATATGCAGATCCTTGATACATTTACATATATAATATCAGTTGTGAGTTCTTTTATTCTTATAAATTGTAGTTGCCCAAGCAAGACAAAAAAATTACATGCGAGA